ATGTTGGAATTAATTTTAAACTCCATGACATTATGGAATTGTGGGAAACAGTGAGTGACAAGTTCTGCAAGAAATGGATATAAAATTGGGTGAGTAGACAACTTTATTTCGTTAGTCTGAATAGACTAGTCCTAATCAAGGCTATGTAATTAACAGATATTGACGGGTAGCGTGTGTGAGACAACATTCGTTGATCGCCCAAAGGAGTAATATTTTCCGGCGGTCCAACGAATGTTATATTACACACCCTATCAGTCAATATCTGTATAGTGTTGACACGTTGATCATCGTCTTCGTCATCACCTCACCATCATCCGTTGTGCTGTGCAGACTCGCGCTGTTATACGTGTCATCGTCATCACCAATTCATTGGCATTATTATCTTCATGACCATCATCGCATCCATCGATTGATCGTCTCATGCGCATCACGGCCTTCATTAACAAGACCATCGTCTTCATCATCGTCGACGTCATCATCGTCGACGTCCTCATCTTTGTATCCATCATCGCTGCTGTCTTCGTCATCATCAACATCGATCGTCATTGCCTTACCTCGGTAAGGCCAAAACAAAAAAAATTGTTTGGTTGTCCTCGACCGCCCGCTCGTCATTTTCGGGCCGCTCGTTTTTTTTTTGTTTTTTTTTAATAGTCTATATATATTTTTTTAATTCAATTTTTTTATTCATTTTTTTTTTTTTTTTTTTTTTTTTGAGGGGGGGGGGGGGGGGGGAACATCTTAAATGCCAAACATACCATTTTATGCATTTGCAAGGATCAAAATGCGTCCCGTTGCCAGTTTTGATCTTTTCAGTACGCAATTAGGTATTTATTAAACTTGCCATTTTTATTTTTCTATGTCAAAATGCCATTCATTCAAATCAGGTTCTGAGCATTCTTAAACTCATGTTAAAGCCCATCTGTACTAGTTTACAGGAGGGATTAGACCACCCTGCAAGGTCACTGGACAGGTGGTTATCTCATCAAATCAGCTCTCAGTTAATATAAGATAAAGAGGATCATAGGGGACCAATGGTCACCGATTAGGCATTGTTTGCTACATAGAGGGCGTAAGTAGCTATAAGTAGTACTATGGAGATTTAAAAGGTGATGTATTTTAAAGCCCAAAATACTTTCTGTGTTGGTCTTGATATTCATTGTACATTAAACTAGTCTTTTACCATATTTAAGTGTTTTTATAGACTTTGTTTAAATTCTTGACATTCCCAAAGATTTTTTTTTTTTTTTTAAATTAAAAATGGGGAAGAAAAATAAGAAAAAAAGAAGAAAAAAAAAAAATACACACAAAAAAATAATTAAAAAATAAAATAAAAAATCCGCCCGCCCGCCCCTACTCCAGAAAAGCAATCGAGGACAACCAAACAATTTTTTTTTTGGCCTAATGCTGATTCGGTTTGATTATGATTTCTTATTGAACGTTTTGCTGAACTAATTAACGATCCTTCTTGTATTTAATATTTGTAGCAAAAATCGAGACATGGGCGCCGCTTCTCCGGCGGCGGCGGCGGCGGCTTCAACATCGAAAATTAATTAACCCGAGGTTAAGTTTTTGGAATTTTAATATAATTTTGAGGGTAATGACCTAAGTTCTTTTTCAATGAAAATTAAACTGAAGGATTATCAAGTATACCCGATCATATGTTAGTAGAATTTCTGGTCACTAAGTTAAGGTCAAATGTCGTTTCAAGTCGACAAACTTTGACTTTGTTGTAGCATCAACATCAAGATTTTGAATTTTTAGCATAATTTCAAGTGTGTTTGTTCAAATTCCATGAAACTTGTACCAAAGGGTTATCAAGTATGACATATCATATGACACAATTTCCAGGTCACAAAGTAAAGGTCAAAGGTCATTTGAGGTCAGTAGACTTGGATTATATTTTCACAACTAATTTTTTTAATATGAGAATTAATGAAAAAAACAAAATGTTATTTGTTCATATTTCATTTCAGTTATCAATCTTGGTACAAATTATACTAAATAATTCTTCTGATGATTCTAATTCAATATTCACTTGAAAAGGCTGACTATGTTCAGAGGATTTCATTTTTAGGGGCCTGCTGATGTCCCAACCTCAATTTTCATCACATCAAATTGCGAATGCAGGCGAGACTGACGAGAGCGGTTCCCTTGTTGATGATTGAAATTTGTAATTTTTTATGATTGATTATATATTGATGTATTCAGGCACGTACGCAGGGGGGGGGGGGGGGGGTCGATGCAAATTTTGTATGTGTGTGTTTTTGAGGAACCCCCCCCCCCTCTTTTTTTTGTTAATAACAACAACAAAATAATTTTTAAAAATATTAAAAAACAGGTGACCTTACCCCCCCCCCCCCCCCCCCCCCCCCCCCCCCCACAACGTAAGGAAATATCGATCGGACAACTTTTCCAATTTCGGGACACACAACAACAACAAAAATGTGCTCTTACCACCACCCCCCCCCCCCCTCTTTTGAATCACCAACAAACACACACACACGCACCCACCACAGTCGGTCCACACACCCACACAACAACATATTTAAGTTACACATTTGTAATGATCACACCAATGACAACGTTATGTAAAATATATACACTGTACATGTAATATATGATTCATATGTGGTTGAACTTCTCAAAAGGCACAATGTAATGAAATTAAAACATCACAAAATATAGTCGACAATTAAATGGAATGTATACAACTGATTCAACTGCATCAGACTACTAGGCTGATGTTGTGTTTTGTACACACATATCTCAGTTTCATCTTCATGTATGATTTCTGTTTTTTTTTAATTGTTCTCACACCCAGTAAAGAACAAAACCGCCACTGAAAAACGATGGAAGCAAACGAAAAAACACAAAATTACCTGTCTGAAGAGAAAATCTATTTCAAATCCACGGACATAGTCTAGTTCCCTTCATTTTATTCTGAAAAAAAATAGTATCATTTGCATGGTGTACAAATGATCATATAAATATAACTAACTTATTTCTATATTACAGATACTTTCTTAACTACATAACACAATGTACATGTACACTATATTTGATGCAACTTACAAATAAAAAGCTAACATGTCTAAATTAGAAAATACAACTAAAATAATCACGCTTTACAAACCAAGACCAAAATAATTAGAAGAAAAAAATAGGATCATATGAAGATTACACAACCACATTAATACCATGAAGAAAATTAACTTAACATCCATTCTCGATTTTAAAACTTTACTAACATCTACATTAAATACAAAAGCCGTTTTTATTTCAACTAAAATTACTGAAACTGTAAATATTTAACTGCATTATTATGCAATGTCTATAGTTTCACTTTTGTATAATACATGTATCTTGCAGCTTTCAAAACCTTTCTCAAAATTCGGGACCCCCAAAAAATGGCATGATTTCATTTCAATTGTCTACTGAAGACAAAATGTCCTTTTAATACTGATTGGTTAAATCCACCAAAACTTTTGAACAAATAATGAAAACTCAATCTGCACGAAACCATTTGCACACCATGACCCCACTAAATAATGTATTCTCCACACAAAACAATACACCATCTTGTATGCAATATGCACTATATCTTCAATACAGATATTCATTGAATATACCCCTATATTTTATCACTACAAAACATTATAACACTGTTGAAAGACTTCTTTTCAACAAAGGTATGTATTATGAACAGTTAAAATCTCTCCATCCTTGTGGTGTTCCTTTAATACTGTCTATTATTGTGTATAGAAAAAGTTTAAAAATGCATAATCTATACCCCTAAAATTCAATGAAATAAAAAGTACAGTAAAACCAAAGTCAAATCCTCTCCTTCGTAAAGATGTAATTATTTGGAAAATGGGAACATGTCCATGCACCACCATAACCGCAAAGTAGTCTATGTGAAAACAATAAATCCCCATATTCTAAGAAAATATTACATCAATTTCAAAAAGACTAAAATTTCGATACCAGGCCACTGCTACTTTCAATTTTCACAGAAATGGTATATGTAAATCATTTCTAACAATTCCAGATCTTAACCAAATTACAACTGCCAGGAAAAAAAAGAGAGAAAAACAACTAAAAAGCTACATGCGAAATCATAGACAGATGAGTCGTCCAATTTACGACATGCTAAAAAAAATTAAAAAATAAAAACAAAGCATACCCCTCAACAATTATTAACCTTTATGGCAACTAATTATTTGGTAAGACCAAGTCTTCAATTCACACCAAATCAAATAATTGGACATGTTTTGAAAATGTGTGCAAATTTATCAGGTCCAAATAGATATAATATTTTACCAAATATATCAATTAGTAGGCAGTTTCTCAGCAAAATTTGTATCATCACGTATTAGTCAAAACATATTCTTTCACATGATTGGACAGATTGGCAATAAGAGCTCCCATTTCATTTTTTGAGAGGGGGGTGATCCCAAAACTGGTCTTTACCTTTAACCATGCAACTGAACATTACTATCCTATTTAGTCCAGAAATAGTACCGTAGTCCTTATTTGAACAACCTACATATATTTTATGTAAGATGACGTACAAAACTTCTTTGTCATGAGCATGAACATATTTTTCTTCCACTAAAGATGATTTCAAGACCAATGTAAATTCTTTTACATCAATTTGACAAAGTTAAAGTAAATTTTAAAATCCACTTTATGCAACAACACATGGGAAATTGTTAAACGAACAAAAACATGATTCAATTTTGTTCAGTTTATGGATCTCAATTGCAATATGATAATTTCCTCTCTATTATATATTTGTTTAATTTAAAGATTATTTTTACTTGCAATAATTAGTTCAACACTTCAATGACTGTTATAGGTTGTTCATCCTTCTATTATCATTTATTTATATATGTATATAACTTGAGGTATGAACAATTATGTTAACTTTATTTTTTATAATTTTTATTGTACATTTATATGATCATTCCTGTTTTTATGCACATTTTATTGATGTTGATATTAATAAACCGAAACTGAATTGAATTGAATTGAATTGAATTACTTTACACTCTTTTAAATAAAATCACACCAATATAAAAGTTGTTTGCAAAATGTCTCCTTACTCTGTTCTTTTCAGTTCGTTTGCACACTTGCTGTGTTATTTCGCTTCAGGTCTATATGTTTTGTCTTCAGTTGGTTGACTTTTCTCCTTAAGTGTCTTCTACAGCCTATTATTAACCTTTATGGCATCTTATTTGGTAAGACCAAGCCTTCACTGTGAACATATCTTTCAATAAACTCATGTCTTCTTATTTGACCAAAGTATTAATAGTATGTCTGTATTTTAGTAGCTATCAGGATAGTTTGTTGAAGTCCTGGTTTATATAATATATCATCTGTTTATAGTAGCTATCAGGATAGTCTGTTAGGAGCCAGAAGGGCAGTAACTCATATACCATAACACAGAGTTAAAACCCTTCTGGCTCCGAACATGATGTATAATAAGAAGCACTTCTTTGTTGATTATCGTACGATTCTATTGATCAATAACCTCATCCCAAGATACAATGAGGGTGATTTTGAGCATGCCATTTTTCTTGAAGCCTAGTGCTTCGTTCTCCACCACATCCTTTTCGATCACCTTCGGAAACTCCACGATGTGTGAGCCGCCATTTTCTTCGGAATTCTTAGATTTCATCCTGGTTTCTTCTTCATCATCAAAGTTATGAATACGGATCTCAAATCGGCATTGTGATGGGAGCTGTCCAGCTTCACTTGGGTAGCCCGCGTCTGCTGTAACTTTCAAAGAGAGATGTGTCCCGCTTCCACTGCCGATTCCGATTAGGAAGAGCTCGGCTTGCAGTTTGAGGTCTGTGGTTGGAAGGATGAAAAATGATCGTCCCTGTTTCTTCTCAGAGTCGTAAGGTATAAAATGAGTTGAAGTTGATTGTCTGTTGTGGCGGCAACCAGCTACCTGCCTCTTCTCTAGTGCCTCAAATCTTGCTTTGGAATGTTTCACGTCATCCATAAGGAACCCTATCATTCTCCCATTGCTTTCTATCTGATCATGCTGTGTCATTTCAGAATCCGATAATGACCTGACATCTGAGACGGACTGTGAATGTCGCAAATTGCTTCTGCTGCATCGGCGCATACACCCTTTTCCCAATTTTTGATAATTCTCTGCACTTTCCAAGACAGAGGACATGGTTGAACCAAAACCACTCTGCATCTCCGCTCCTACGAATTCGATGTCGGATTGTCGATGAATATCCGGATTGCGGCGATCACTGTTTTTTAATATGGTAGTCGAATGCGAAGTGTCGTCATGAATGGTTGAGATCTCCGCAATAGGTTCTTGGACTGTGGACATTTGTTGGGGGCTGGATGCGTTGGGAGTGGGTGATAATGTTGCAGCAGCCCTGTTCTTGGCCCCACCCATTGCTCCGCCTCTCGCACCCCTGGTTGCACTTTCAGTCACATCTGCTCTCCTCTCTAGGGCCAGAGTTCCCTGCTGTCGCGGAGAATCTGAATTAAATCGGATAAGATTTAATAATGCAGTTCATTACTGGCCAAAATAGGAATCATTGGCTTCTTGATATGACACAAATTAATACCACACTGTTTTATTTTGAAGTTAAAGAGAAAGTCGAGTTTTGGGAAAGAGGTGAAAAATAATTTGTGAGCGTTATTATTAGGCAAGAGTGGAAGAACATCAGATAAAAAATGTTCCCTGAAAAGCATAGCTCTTCAAATGTATTCTAAATACGGCATGTAACAGTATAAAAATCGGGACTGATTTTTATGCCACATGTTGTGTAGTCCCATATACATATTTCTGTGTACAGTGCTTATAAATTTACCAAGACTGGGCCAAATTTCTTATCATTTTGATGATTCCAGAACCTTGCAGTACACACTGATACTGATATTCTAGATGATCAACTTTTTCTGATCGATTCCACACCATTTCTTTCACAATGCAATTGCATAACCAGAACTCAACTTTATCTTTAAGCTTTGATGCAACCATCATCAAAAACAATCTTGGATAATTACAGAAGCAAGAAGCAAGAAGACAAGAGAGGGATGTTGGAGAGACCAAAGTGGATCAAAAATGTGCGTGAAGCCCTTTCGGCGTGGGGTCCACAGACATATTAATGATATCTAAGATGTAAATTGAGGTATGAATAAATGTAAAACCCTGAAAACTCAACAGCGTTTATAAAATGGTCATTGCTAGGCCCCTCAAGAACCCTGAAACCCTATCCCCCATAGTTGGGCTAACAATATTTTACCCAAAACAACAATATTAAAAAGACTAAAGATAATGCACAAAAAATTCCAAATGGGATTATTCTATTAGATCTATAAAAAAAATATGGAAAATATATGATCTAGTTTACTGATTCCTAACCCCCCCCCCCCCCTCTATTTCCTAACAGCTATTGTTTACTGCCATTACAGACATATCTAACTCATGCTTGACATGTCTTTATTACTCATTATTTATACAGATTAATATGTCTGCATTGACAATGGAATACAGAGTATATGAATTAAGTACTAAAAAAGTACCTGTTTTGTCATGTTCTCTACGGCTTTTCATCTGCATTTTCCCTGTTGGTTAAAAAATAAATAATCATAGTAGACGTTCACTTGTCTCTCACTTTTCTAGTAGATATGTATTTGTACCCAATGGATAAGTTATACCTTACTGCCATGAGATGTTAAAGCTTTAGCAGAGTTTGGGGTGCCCAGTCCATAGATTCTTTGTGATTTATGATAATATGTATTTAATTGTAATAAACGTACTATCAATACTTGACGCTTGTCAAGAACTTTTATTTCTTCGTTTGGACTATATTTTTGTTCTTCTCTGGAACGCGACCTGGGCAGAGTGGTTGGTGGTCACCAGCAACCCCGTCGCTGTGACCGGGGCCGTTTCATGCCCAAGGTTTATCCAATATATCTTAAATGAATTGCATTACCCAACATATGATTGTCCAACAGCAATGAAATAATGATGTGATTTCTACATTTTTAATTGATGGACTCTCTGATTTAAAGCGCATCTTATCACTAAATTTTGTTTTAGTTTCCTGGGCTATTATTCAATCCAAAAAAAAAATTAAGTAAGCATATATATATATATATATAACATAGCAATTGGCTTGGCTGAGTAATGTCTTAACTAGTATTCAAACCACATCTACATGTAAGTACTTTACTTTAGCAAGCAGACTTTAAGGCAAACTACTTACTAAATAGACGTCACAACATTAGTCCAAACTGACATCTCACATTAAATGAGCACTTATATAATTTGCTTGGGGGAGCTTTATAAAATAATCTGTGTATGTATGACAGCTATATGCTGGCCAATTCACTAATGTCTGCTAGGGATCCGTCTTAGATTGATGGGGAAATACTAAGTCAAAAGACTTGACTGAATACGATTACCTGCATTTTGCCTCTTCCTTTTCGTTTGCCTCCTGGGCCTTTCCCCTGAAACATGAAGAAGCCACAGAATACATTTCAATGTCAATGACAAAACAAAAGTAAATGATGCATTAAAGATAAAGACCAGTTCTGGTCATGCGATTGCATTGTGAAAGAAACGTTGTGGAATCGATCAGAAAAGGTCGGTCATCTAGCATAGATGTCAGTGAAATGACTTGACATTTGCATGCATGCATGTCAAGTGAAGTGTATAAAGTACTATGGTTATTTCAATTTTTGTTGAAAAATACCCTCACTCATTTGCATATTTATGGTAATTTATGCAATGAAAGATAAACTTTAGTACTGGTCATGCGATTGCATTGTGAAAGAAAAGGTGTGGAAAGGGTCAGAAACAGTTGATCATATAGCATGTAAGTAATGGTGTGTAATACAAGGTTCTGGAGTCATCAAAATCATCATAAATTTGACAGAGTCATGGTAAAGTAACAAGCACTGTACACAGAAAGCTATATATGGGACAACACACATGGTGTCGGGGCTAGTGCTACCTTGATTTCCTCTTCTTTCTATGCTCATTACTCAGCCAGTATACATTTTCTTCAAAAATTGTTTGACACATGTCATTTATTTGTAATCTTGAACATTCAGTGTAAGTTTCGTTAGATTCTGTGAGAATTAATTTTCTGTTTTTTACCAGAACTGGAGTTTATCTTTAAGGTCATAAACTCACATTTTTACCCAAAATTCATATATTCTTCATTTTTAAACATTTGTTTTCACTACCTAAATTCTTTAAACCATTTGGATTTTGGAATAATGATACTAACTTAAGGTTATTCCTTATGTTATCTAATGTTTTGATAATTTCTTATGCATTTCTTTGTTTTTAACTTATGTGTTTTATTGTTTGTACTTCATTTCTAACTATGATTCAACTATTTTGACCCCAAACAAACACCTAAACTATTAACATGACCAAATAACCAATTTTTTATCTCTTTTTTGGAAAAATGAGATTTCCATATGTTTTGTACACAAATTACGAAAATGAGCAATTTTCGGGCTGACATGCAAAGACAAAAGGTCACGTGACTTAGTAACAGTAGGTCTGATTTTCACTGAAAGAATTTATTTTCTAAGATGCACAAGACTCGAAAGAAAAAAGTAATATAATTAAAGCCCAAGATATGTTTGTGTTGAAAAATTATCGCAAAAAATGTATATATATGCTATATAATAGGCTATATACACTGTAGGGTTAAAACACCTAGTAGTGGTATTTTTGGTATTCTAGATTTTCTGCAAAGTCAATGTGTCGATCCATCCCTCGAGGACATACTTCTCTTTTTATTTCCTTCTTCCTCTTTTTTGTCGTGAACATTGTAAGAGTGGCAACTTTGTCTATATTATACAGATAAATACGGTTCAATTACCCCTTAGGCAATTACCAGCGGGACAATTACCCCCAGAAAACTTACCACCCCCCCCCCCCCCCCCCCCTCCTGAGGACATCCACCCCCTGAGGACAAGACAGAGAGAGAGAGAGAGGGAGAGGTGGGTTAGGAGGGATAGAAAAAGAGAGTGAAAGAGAGAGGGTGGTACATGTATTAAATGTAATACAAAGTTTGGGTTTGGGGTCATGAATTAGTTCAAACGAACATATTTGAAGCCTATGCAACTTTAAAAAATTCAATGATCTTTGTCACGGTTGAAATCAAGTCTAAATTGACGAAAATCTTTATGTTGTATAGCTCCCTCTCAAGACTGATGCTACTTAAGCTTTAAAACAATGATTCCTGACTACAATCGACCGATTTGCTATTCCTGTTTGAAAATTAGATATCAGAACTGGTTGTTCTGACATTTTCATGCTTATAGCTACTATGGAATGGCGTTTTTAAAGGCGATATTTGTAATATTTGAAATTTACTTTGAAGTAGCTAATTATTCAATAAACAGAATATAGTACAATGAAAATATACATAACATCCGTATTACCTGGAACAGGAAGAGCATCTTCAGAATCCTGAACCTCTGCTTCTGCTATGTCTCCCTCTTCCTCGCTGACAACTAATGTAAATGGAAATTAGAAATACATTGTATTATTATTATTATTATTATTATTTATTAGGCCAATCATAAAAGCACAATACAAATACAATTTGACAGATCATGCAATACATTAACAATACAAGAGGAAAAGGGAGGGAGCAACGTGTGGGCCAGGGCTCACAAAAGTGAAATTCAACACTATTACCCGGAGGCGTGTGAGCCCTCACATGTTGCTTCCAAATCAACTTATATATATTATAAACATAACATTGACTTACATACAATATTGCACATTGTTTGAAAAAAATACATCTTAACTCCCCCCCCCCCCCCCCCCCCCCCCCCCCCTCCTTCCAAAAATTAAAACAAAAATGACAAATGTATTACATCGCATATTCCTACAAAGATGGATATCACTTAAATGTACCAAGGAAATTATAAACATTATGATACAAGCGGCATTATATTAAAATAATAAGGAATTCAAGATAAAGAGTAATGGAGGCTGGTATCTTCAACAGGGTTGAGAAAAATCATTGAAATCAGACATAGTGTATTAGTTATAAAAGACACAGGATATAAAGCTTAGAGTATACAATGCCCTAAACAGTATTAACATGCAAGTGTATAAATGATGTAAGATACATGTTTAACGATAATAAAATATAGTACCTAGCTCAGTGTTTAATATATAGGCCTGAAGAAAGCATGTCAATATATCAGTAATCATATTAATATGTAATAAAAAAGTAAGATTAATTAAGTACAATACAAATAATCCAGCATCATGCATGGTATATAATAAGAAAAATAAACGGAAACTAATCAGAGGGTATAAAGTGAAGTAATTACATGTAAAACCGGATGAGATAAAACTACAACTACAAACTATCTAATGTTGCTGTTTTTGAAACGCGAAGAAAAGAAGACAGAGAGGATATCACTGCCTCATCTTTAACACTTATGGGAAGAGTGTCCCAAAGTCTTGGAAGTCGCCTTGAAGGAGAAAAGAACAGAGTATTTGTACGAGAAGGAAGATGGCGAAAGGACAGAGTGTGGGGACGACGAGGATTGATGAGCATGTTATCAAGGAGAGCTGAACAATTACATAGACCGTATAGACATTTCATGGCAAAAGTACACAAAAGGTAGTCTCTACGAGAAGCTAGTGTATACCAATTGAGAGAGCGGAGTCTCTCGTTGTACGGCATCACTCCACGAGCTTGCTGCAGTGCAATGCGCGTGGCGGTTCTCTGGATCCGTTCAAGTTTGTTTTCCTGGGAACATGTCATTGGGTGCAAAGCCGGAATGCCATACTCTAGTAACGGGAGTACTAGTGCTTTGTAAAGACAAAATATAGAGTTGGATGAAGCGCCACGTGCAACAAGTCTTATGAAGCCAAGGAGGCGATTCGCCCGAGACACAATCGTATCCACGTGCGAATTCCATGTCAGGTCGGGGCTTATAACTACGCCAAGGTATCTAAATGTGGAAATGGGATCTATCTGGGTAGCACCTAAAAGGTAAATAGGAGGTTCAATCCGCTTTTTTCGTGTCACATGCATCATCTTGGTCTTTGCTGCGTTGAATATCATGTTGTTCCTAAGGGCCCACAAATGCAGAGCATTTAGATCATCTTGGAGTTGGACTTCGTCCGTTGGAGATGTGATCTCTCTGAACAAAAGTACATCGTCAGCAAAGAGAACACATTGGGAAAGAACCGAGAGAGGCAAGTCGTTGACAAATAATAACAGCTTTGGTCCAAGGACACTCCCTTGGGGTACCCCTGATTGGAAGTCGGTCCATTCAGAGGTAGAGCCCATGAAGATGACACGTTGAATCCGACCAGAAAGGAATGAACTTATCCAGTGCCACAATTGACCCTGGACATTGAAATCTACAGCTAGTTTAGAGAGCAAGACATGATGGGGCATTTTGTCAAAGGCCTTTGACATATCAAGGAACACGGCATCTATTCTTGTTGGACGTCTCTTATCCAGTGAAGTACTCCAGCTGTGCAATACATTAACCAATTGGGTCACGCAACTTCTTCCTGCCGTAAACCCATGTTGGTTAGTACAAAGCAAACCATATGAATCGATGTGATTGGGCAAGGCAGTTGCCACAAATCTTTCAAGTAGCTTACTGAGTAGTTGTTACAGTGAATACTTCAAAATGATATATAGACATTACAGCACCACTGCACTACTTACAACTACTTGTGCCCTCTATATAGCAAACAATGCCTAATCGGTGCCTGTGGTCCCTCATAATCCTCTTTTTCTTTAATATGTTAATTGAGAGGCCGAGTTGATGAGATAGCCACCTGTCAGTGACCATGCTGGGTGGTCTAATCCCTCCTGACCAAACTAGTACAGACGGGCTTTAAAGGAAAACCATAATATCAGAGGTTTCCACTGAAACAAGATGAATGGCACCATTGTGTTTCTCATGTTGATTTATTTAACATTGGTACGAGTATAATGATCTTAGAGTATAACCGTGTACCTCTGTCTCCATTTGCTCCAATTATATAACAGACCACGGTACAGTTTTATTTGTTTTTCTTCTACAAGATGAGAATCATGAATTCTGGATCAAAAAGAAAGTTAATAACCTTATCTGTCAAAGAAATATATAAAACGAGGATGCTGGCTGTATGTCATTGGGACCACTATGTATATTGTTTTAAAGGTGATCCATTAACTTGGGTAGCAATGAAAAGAATAAAGACAATCCCGGAAGAAAATACTACAATGTAATGGTCCAAACAAATGTGGCTGAAATTCAATCTTGTACTAGTTTTATCAAGTCTTTAGCTTTGTTTTCTGAAATGATGTATGTTGATCTCATCTGTTACTGAACTAGGAGTGTCGTGATCGAGTAGTTTAAGGCGCTTGACTGGAAATGCGAAGGTCGAGGGTTCGAATCCTGACACAGCACTAATATCCTTTGACAAGGTATTAACCTTCACTTGCTATTCTCCACCCAGGTGTTAAATGGGTACCCGGTAGGATGCAACTGTCATTGTTGGTCCAACATTTTTGAGCGTCAAGTATCACCTGGCAGGAGTGCTCCCAGGGAGTGGAGATTGTGCAGTGTGTGCTGGCAAGTATTGAATCCAATGACCGGGATAATAGTATATCTGTAAAGCCCTTAGAGACATCATTGATGTATTAAGCGCTATATAAAAGCGAAATTATTATATTTTCTACTGTCAAATTGAATACATGTCTTCTTCTTATGGATTGTTGTAAGGTCAAGGATGTCACTCACCTGAAAACTTGATATTAGCAGCCTCTTGAAGTATTCTGATTTTGGTTTTTCTCCCGTATGTACCGGGTCTGCGGAAGGGAATTCCTGGTGGCATCCCAGTAACTCTCACCTCCCCCGCACCAATTCTGTCATACCCTGTCCTCGGCTTACCCAGGCATTTCACTGCGAATAAACAATAGAGTATATCGAGGGTTCAGGGACACAAAGACGTACCAATAATTTTGCCAAAATAAGTATTTGATATCAAAATGTTCAGAAAATTTGGGCTTTCCAGGAAACACAAAGACTTAACTCCACCCAACACCCCATTAGAGTCAATGGCTAGTGAGACATATACTTAATTCTTAAGGCCCAAGTGCTCCATGATAAATAAATCGCTTTTTCTCAAATGGTCAAAATGGAGTTACGTCTTTGCGTCACTGATCCCTCAGTATAAGAATTTATCCTCGTATATCACAGGTTCACATACCTCCTCACACATGAGAAAAATATTTTAATTCCAGATTATATCCAGGATTTTGTTGAAGAGAAGTTAAAATATTCCTTAAATTGTCCTTACCCCCCCCCCCCCCCCCCCCCTCTACATCTAAACACTGTATATTTGTGTATGAATATTTTTTTATATGTATATCCTAACATATTCCTTTTGTCTGTTATCATAATATCATTCCTTGTGCCTCAATACATCACAAAGACATAGAAAGTAGGCTCTATGGTTGACAAAATAGTCCAAGAAACTTTCATCCAACACCGAAACATATCAAAATTAATGTTTTGACATAATAATAATACAGCATTTATTATGCGCCATCGATATAGTAAACTATTCTGAGGCGCAGAGGGATACTTACTGTATGCTGTATTGAAATGAGCCTGAACTCTACTCCGGAGAACCTCATCACTCAGCGACTCAAGTGATCTTGAGGTTGTTTCTAAAAAAATAAAGACACACCAAAAAAAAAATCTTACATTTTAGTACATGGAAACACAAACAACTATTGGACAATCATATCAATGTAAATTTCAATTTTAATTAATGTTGCATTAATATTTAAGTCGTATACATTTGCCACACTCCACCCAGATGAAGTAAATGGGTACCTGGTAGGAATTTATTCCTTGAAATGCTAGAGCCCCGTATGGCAGCTGTGCCAAAGCCAGGGTATCGGGAGCGCCAGTAGGGTCAAATCTGACTGACATGAGCGCTATACAAGAACCCACTATTATTATTATTATTATTATAAATTTGTAGTGTTCTGTTTAGCATTCCAACTTTTTGACGGCCAAGATCATAGGGGGAGGGGGGCCTTAAAAGCCCCCCCCCCCTCTCCCACAATGTCAACTGGGCATACAATAAAGGAATTTTATAACGTAATGGTTCTCACCTTCTTGTATCGCCGCAGAACCCAATGAAGAGATTAACCTTTTTTGGTGTGCTACAACCAGAGCTTGTTCCGTTCCTGTTTGATTATAGGCGTCCTCCGTTCTGTGTACTGCAAGAAAGAGGGACTCGTACCCCAGCTCATTCATTGCCTTGCACTACAAAAAGAAAAACAAATAAATTGTATAACTTCCAAATGTCACAAGCCATATTTAAAACAAATCTGACATCCTTCAACTTTAAAAGGTGAAAACCTCAGTCTGGTTCCAGTTAAATACCTTTCAAGTTATTAATGATCATAAGTTTAAAATATTTGTTTTGTACACCTAGTCGAGTCAAATGTGCTTCAGTAACCATAAACTACAAAGATCACCTTTTTTGTTTCCTTTGAAAATGGTTTCTCATTGAAACAGGCACTGAAGGAACCTTTCTACAAAGCCCACCTGTCTACAAAGGCCACTTTTTGTGTTTCCCTTAGGCATTGGCTATAGACAGGTTTGACTGTATATGTCTGGTGAGAAGTTTGATGATCTTTATTCCTAATGATATTTATTGCACTTTTAAGAAATCACATCATGTACATTTCCTGCATTTCCTGGGAGCATCCCCAAATTTCTATTGTCAAAGCTGCTTCAAGTATAACTGCAGGTCTTAGAGACTAAACCTTTCCTGAGCATTCAATTGACAGATAGGTTTCTACTTTCTAGCAAGATAGATATATATCATATTACATATATATTTAAATTTCGAAAGGAGAAACACTTTTTGAACGGGAAAGTATAAATTGTCAGTTGGACAATAACTCCAAGGTATTTAGTGTGCTTTTTACTGTCAACAATGTTTGCAGAATATGGTCCTGTGAACATTTGTGTTTTAATTATCTTAGATGATTGAGAAAAAAAAATGCATCTTTGCCAAATCTATAACCTTGATCAACTCTGTGTAAATCCTTTTGATACTGGATAAAATAGCGATTTAAGACTATTTTCATAAATCACTGACCTTTAACCCTTGTAAGATTTGGTTCAAAGCCTAATTAAAGGGGCTGTAGCATGGGAAATACTGGTTGACGCCATCTACGTCTTCTTTTGGACAACTGCACTGAAGTTCTCCTCACGCTTCAGTTTCCGTATGTTGCAAGCACGTAAATACGTAGGCCTTCATCCGATTTTCCCCGAGTGGGCCTCGGGAAAGACGCATAGTCTCGTCATGCTACAGCCCCTTTAATTAGTCCTCACAAAATGGGTCCCACTGCTGTAGTTGAGTCCTGCCTTGAGTCTATATTGTAGTGACCTTAAACGATGCCTTCATCAAGAGTCACAAGTACAAAACATGTGACTTCAAATGCAGCCTTGACAAAGTCATCGATGGTTACATCTTGGTCAAGTATGGTTTTAAAAAAAAACATCTAAGGGTTCTACTGTTTCTACTGAGACAGATGTCTCGACAGTTGGATGTACAGATGGACAAACTGGGGGATGTTTCACAAAGATCCCAAGTCAAACTTAACTCTAAGTTGGACTTAACAATTATGGAAAGCCGTTAGCATCTTTGAAAAATATTTTGTATGATTTATTCTAAAAGGCATAAAATGTTGGTTCAAATCATCATATGTTCTATTATCAAGGAGATTTCATGTTCTTGATGTGGAATTTATAAAAAGTAAAAAAATACTTGAAATTTCACTTTTGAATATGGCTCTCCATAATATTTATGTCCAACTTAGAGTTTAGATCGACTTATGATCTTTGTGAAACATCCCCTGGAAAGATAATGCCTGCTGGCACCCCTGCGGATCAAGGGCAGGAGAACTTACTTTGTTATCAATGTCTTTGACCCATTTGCGCATTAGCAGCTTTGTTGCCTTGGAGTTGTAAACTGAAGGTTGATCTGTTGCCTCCTTTGCTCCCTCTTCCTTTAAGCTCTTTAGCTTGGCCAAGGTGGTGGGGTCATTTCTTAACTCCTTCCAGGAGTCATGTGCAAGCTTCAGTTTCTCTTCTTTTCCCAGATAATTGTCGTCTATAATTAAAACAGGTTATTTGTCAAGATTCTTAATAGCACCAGGGGGCCATTTCTCGAAACCAATGCCATGACAGTCATATCTTTGTCAGCGACCTACGGAGATGTCATGAAGTGGATAAACCGTTTCACAAAGCCATGACAGACATGATATCGATATATCGCGATACTAGCAGCTCAAGAACATAGTCTTTGTCACGATCCATTTGATTTATCAAGAATAACCCAAAACAAGTTTTGGGGCTAAAATTGTTCAAAAAGAAATATATACATATAAATTCTCCTAAAATAAATAATAAATAGTGTCATTATCAAATGTAGATCACAAAACGATTTGCATATTTCTGTAAAGATTCTTAAATTGAAGAAAAACCGGTGAGTGTTTTTTTTTCGACTTAGTTGAAGGATACCGTAATGTGATAGTTTATCAATACGTACTTTTTTGTTTATTGTGACGAGGAATTTTAGGCAAAATACCTTTTCTCAGCCAGTTTTTATTCTAGAGTCTCATAAATACTCGTTATATAATTGATTTGATATTGAAAATATAATTTGGAAGAAGTAATTAGAGAGGGAATAATAATGCACATAAGCCCCAAAGGTACGACGGTATCCTAAGAAAAGACTATGGAAAACGGTGTGTAACATTCTTTTCTCTCTTATTTATATGTTATAGTTTAATGGTTTGTGATTTAATGTTTATATTCAGCTTTTTAAAATTTCTGTATAATTTGTATTATCACTTTTTTACATTTGCATTTCGCATCCCAGAGAATTACGTACCGAACTCGTCTATATTTTTCTCAAAATGATAGTGAAACCAATCGTACATTTTGGGGCCCATGGAATGGCAACAAACTGACTTGTGATGGCGCTTTACAGCAATTAAAAAGATATGACAGGTTCAGAGCAGTGACAACTCGCTTGTCGCGGTGGTTGTCGCTCATCTTGGCAAAGACGGCTTTGTGAAACACTTAGCTGACAAGTTGCGTGACTGTGGCGAGATGTCGTTGATCTTGTAGTTATGACGGTTTCGAGAAACGGCACCCAGATCACCCCGATGTTCAATTCAAATTCAAAGCTTATTTAAAGTGTTAGGAGCTCAAAATTTGCCAAAAGAATTATGACAAAAAATCACTTAAAGATAAAGTTGAGTTCTGGTCATGTGATTGCATTGTGAAAGAAACGGTGTGGACGCTATCAGAAAAGGTTGATCATCTATTATATAAGTATTTGTGTGTATTGCAAGGTTCTGGAATCCTCAAAATGATAAGAAATTTGGCCAAATCTTGGCAAAGTTACAAGCACTGTACACAGAATGATGTATATGGGACTACACAAGCACATAGCGAAAAAAACCTACCCCCTGATTTTTACGATGTTTCATTTCATATTTAGAATATGAAGGCATTTGAAGAGCCATGCTTTTCAGGGAACATGTTTAATATGATGTTCTTCCACCCTTGCATAATAACAATGATAAAGCTCACAAATTATTTGTTACCTCTTCCCAGAACTCAACCTTCTCTTTAGACTGTATAGTGTATATATACGGTAATGATGTGAAAGCGGATGTCATTGATTACACACACTTCTGCAAGGTTTTTCAAAACAAATGTGTTTGAAGACAAATATTGATGACAGAATACCATATTTGGGTTTTGTGTAAATGTACGCAGAAAACCATAGTTTAGGTGCAATTTTGCCATCAATTTTTTGGGGCTCCCAACGCTTTACAGAGGCTTTCAAGGTAAAGATTAGTTTTGGAAACGCCCCTCTCTCAAAAAAATGAAATGGGAGCTCTTATTAGACCTACTTATTACCAATCATGTGAAATAATATGTTTTGACTAATACGTGATGATACAAATTCTACCAAGAAACCACCTACTAATTGATATATTTGGTAGATTATTATATCTATTTGGACCTGATAGATATCGCGCACATGTCGCGTAGTCCCTTATAAATCTTTCTGTGTACAGTGCTTGTAACTTTACCAAGACTGGGCCAAATTTCTAATCATTTTGATGATTCCAGAAGCTTGCAGTACACACCAATACTTATATGCTAGATGATCAACCTTTTCTGATCGATTCCACAACGTTTCTTTTACAATGCAATCGCATGACCATAACTGGTCTATATCTTTAACATATCTTACCACAGTATTTGTTAAGCTCTTGAGACATGAAAATGTCATAGAGCCTCCTGTTGCCTGTTTTTGAGATTTTGTCCTGTGTGGCCTTGACTTCTTTTCTCCTTCTGTTGTCTATGAAATTCTGCAAGCACAACAAAAAAATACAAAAAAAAGAGAAATTTTCAGCAAATTATTTTTAAAAATGCAAGCCAACTAAAAATTGATAAGCAGGAGAATGAAAAATCCCTTTTCTAACATGTTACTGCTGGATGTTCATTAAAGGGATCCGGTAACTTTGTCTCAGATCCTTAAACAAAATCCTTGATTTCGCTCATGCTGCAATCATAATTATTAACCTTTATGTCATTCAGGAATCCAATGACTGTAACAAGCCGATTGCCTGTCTGATTATCAAGATATTTATGAGTGAAAATCAAAAATTTATTTTGCATTTTCCTAACGGTTTCACTATAACACTACATTCTACTGAGGAAAATGAGTATGGTAAAACCAGTCACTCATAGATTTGTACTTCTTTTGAGGCACTTCATGATCATTTTGAAACACAATTTTTTTTAAGGGCTTAATTATTATACCATATCACAGACACGTAGGGTCATGCATCTACGATTTAACATTGTTACCGGTAAATGTATGACTCAGGATGGACTTTCCATTTTTAGAGGACGTGTAATAATATACTGTCTCTTTTGAATACCGTAGTGAAGGCAGTTGGGGGGGAAATATAAATAAAAGAAAATGAATATATGCACAATTTTTTCTTCTTCAATTCCTTGACATACAGTGTACAAGAAATAACCCACCTTAATTTGACTGTACTTCATCTTGGTCACAGCTACAGCTTCCGTCATAAGTCGTTTGGCCTCACCCGTCTTTGAATTTGTCATGCCTTTATTCCACAGTCCATTGAGGTACTCCCTAGTGAAAAAAAGATTTTGTTGGAGGTAGAAAAACATTTTGTTGGAGGTAGAAAAAGATTTTGTTGGAGGTAGAATAAGCCTTTGGCAACCAGTGAAGAATGAAGTAGTTTCTAATACCAATGATTACCAAATGTTCCGAGTACGGTAACCCTTTTTTTGCACTGTACTCAGACAAGCCTGACCCCCAAAAGAAAATATCTTCTTCGCCATTTTTTTTTGGGAAACCTAACCCCACTGATAACTTTACTTATTCTTAGAGATTTGTTGCATTTGATTAATGCCTATCAACCTACAAGTTTCCCACCAAAGTGTATTAGAGAGGCATACAGCAAGAATAAAGTAAAGTTTCTCAGCAAGACATGGGCATCCCTATTTTCTTGATTGCTTCCAGCTGTTTGTAGTGTTGAAGCATTTCATTCACCTGCTATTATATAAGGGTGTCTGAACAAATTTTCAATTTTTCCTTTTGGATTGCTTTTCACAAAATATTGCGTAGGAAGGATACAAGAGAGAGAGAGTGGTTGGATATTTGAAAAAAAATCAACTGCTCAGAGGAACACATTTTAAATTACAAGACTCACCAATGTTTCTATCAAAAGATACAGCCCAAAATTCCAGAATGGAGGAAAAAGTGGTACACGCTGAGTTGTAAATTTTGTTCAACAGCTGTCTGTATCGCGCGATATGCAAAGCGTACGTGTTAATTAGCCTCCGTCATCTTTGTTGTCATGATTGTGCGATTTTCTTTTTATAATCTAACACCAAAATCATGATAGACCCTATTCCAGTAAATCTTCTATTTTGTACAATTTTTTTTAATATCCTTAATAAAATTACCGGTTAACGGTAGTATTTTTAGTATTTAAAGATAAAGTTGAGTTCAAGTCATGCGATTGCATAGAAATGGTGTGGAATCTATTGGAAGAAGTTGATCATGTAGCATTAGTATTGGTGTGTATAGCCTAATGCAAGCTTCTGAAGTCATCAAAATGATCAGAAATTTGGCCCAGTAAAGTTACAAGCACTGTACACAGAAAGATGTATGGGACAACGCAAAAATGTGGTATAAAAATCGGGCCTTAATAACAATGATAACGCTCACAAATTATTTGTGTTTGAATGACTGAGTGACAATTAGTAGAGGATGAGCGAATTATAGAAGCCAAGATAATTGTCACCAAATTTTAATATCAAAACAAGGAGAAAATCATAAATTTTGCTTGTACTGTTACTTGTAAGTGAGCCTTTTCTGAAGTCCAAGTTGATATTGTTGTCTTCTACTTTTCCATTCAAATGCACACATCAATGTGACTATTAAAGTCAGCAATTGCTTTGGTATTTAGGCCTAGATCTACTGTAGTACAGTAGTAGGGTCTATGTATCTCCAGTACAGGTACCTCGTATTTGCTGGAGCAAGTGTGCCGCTCGCTGACGAAGTGCCGCCAGGCGCCAGGGCCCCGGCACCTGGCTCGGCCACCGATAGTGCTAGTGGCCGTTGTATCAACTCTGTCAAATTCTGAACGACTGAAGCTGCCTCTTGATCTTGAAGTTGATGCTTGATGAGATAATTCCTGAAGCAGCTTTTCCAAGCCTCTGCCTCGTGTATATCATCACTTGACGAAGATGACGTGGACGGAATGTTCTCCATGGCGTGAAAGGCCTTGCTAAATTCAGGTTGAATCCTAACTTGAAAATGACAAACATCGAACCAGAGACAAAAAAATGTACACACACATGCATGCGCATGCAACGCATACGCATGGTCTGGTGGGGGAGTTCCCCATCTCTGTCAAGTGCCGCGCGCGCCGCATGCAACGCGATGCTTGAGATGGCATGCAAGCTGATTGCGGAGTAGAGATAAGATGAGAGCTAGAGATAATGCACCTATAATAGCTAGTGGCGGATCCAGGGCGAGGCGGGTCCCCTCCCCTGGGAAAAATACAGTTAAAAACACGTTAATTTTACCCTTTTTTGGAGATGAGCTCTGGGTCCCATCTCCAAAAAAAAGGCCCCTCGCCAGGCGCTCAAGGGAGGTGCGATTTTTCCAATTTTCGAGCGCAATTTTTTTAAAACTAAATATAGTGCTCGTTTACCCCCCCCCCCCCCCCCCTGGATCTCGCCGCTAAATATTCTCTCACGAATTGGGCCCCCTCTTTGACCCCCTCCCCTGCCACGTACCGGCTGCATGGATCCGCCCCTAGTAGGCTATGTCTATACGTGGACACTAGTGTTACTATTATTGTCCCCAGTCTCCCCTACTGATGAGGGGGGGGGGTGGTGGGTGGGGGTGGCATCTGAACAACCAATGCTCAATACTCGATCCATGGTGTGTTGGGAGGGGGGGGGGGCTGTGGACACTAACTGTAACCTCTGTAAGACGATACAACAACAACAACAATATTTTCATTAATTTATTTCCACGTCAAGATAAAACCATAATTATATAATCATCAAAATAGAAACATATATTGAGATATCTGAAGTGGTAGGATCATGAAAACATAAAAATGGCTAGCTTGTTAAAAATAACCTTTACAAATTTCTCTCAACCTTTTTTTTTTTCGGTTTGGGAGGATAAGGGACATTAAGAGTTACATTATATAACATGAATAAATATCACATTAAATTACAAGTATAGCTAGCGCCCAATCAGCTGATAAAATAACACACCCTTCAACGTTGACAGTAGACTTTGCCATTCCTCTCATTCTGTATCGTTCTTCTCGACGGTTATTTTGGGGTATCGCGCGTTTAATTGAAGAATAAAAAATATATATAAAACAGACAGAGGATGGACTAGGTCTATATAAGAGACCCCGTTTATGCTTACCATTCTAAAAACCCGTGAAACATATTATGATGGCATGGTTAAGAATGGAAAAAATACCCTCTTTCATCAAATCATCAAATTCCAAAGAAATTTATTTTTATTATTTATTTTCCACTCAAATTTCAACAATTTGAAGAAAAAAACATAATATATACACCATACAGTATTACAATATATAATAGAACAAATGAATTATAAAAGGAAAAATACAAATAAGTATCTACGACACAAAATAAGTTTACAGAGTACATTTAATTTTGAGAAAAAGACAAAATATTTGATATTTCCTGATATAACTAAGAGGGTATCTCAGAAAAGCTATACTTGTTGAGCGAGCCGAGATTACCAATATAAAATAAGTACTAGACCATTGTCAGCGCCGATTTAGTCAATAGTGTGGCTGGAAATAAACCAAGCAGTACTTAATATAAAGATGATTAGTACAACGAATTGAAGGAAACCAACGAAGCAAACATATTGAAACTTGTCGTCTTGCAACCCGGCCTTTTTCCCTTTCTCTTTGATTGTTTGTTCTTTATTCTTTTTTACATTGCCCGATTTGGCTTTTCGTCCATTCTTAGCTCTGATGAGTGGAAGACGAAAATTCTCAGTTTTTCTGTAATCGTTGGTATTCTAATAAAATGCATTTAAAATGTCCCTGAATTAGCATACAAATATATTGTTCATATACCTTACTTAAATGATTATACTTTGTTACAAAATACATGCATAAGTCAAAAACTCGTTAAGAAAACAGCTATTTCTAGCTTATTTCCCCCAAAAATATAAATTTAATTTTCCAACAGACTTATTGAGGTGAAATGCATACAATAAGACATAACAACAAAGGGCCAATATACAAAAAAAAAGTGCAAACCATTACATCAACCACAATGATTAACCATGATCAAAATCATTATTGTAATTCGTTGTCTTTCAATCTAAAATGGGTATTTGCTACATAAATCATTCAATAATAAATAATTCATTCACAATTTTGTATCAGATATTCCCGTAGATTAATTTCAATTTCCTTAATAGAATAAATATTTACTGAAAAATAGATTTGCCCTGTGGGAATAACGCGCGCAGGAAGGAATTTGGCATTTGCTTTATTAGTGAGAATTTACATTTTCAAAGAGACTATCTACATTCGTATGCAAAGCAAAACTGTCAACTTCCTAATATGGACCATAGAGTGTCAATTTTGGTCATGTAAGTAATTTTCTACAAATTTCTGTTAGTTTCCCTTTCTAACATATTTTAAAGAGTGCATGACGAGGCAGTACAAATATTAACTTCTTCTTCTTCTCTTCTTCTTCTTCTTCTTCTTCTTCTTCTACTCCTTTTTTGATGAAAGAAGAAAGATTTACATTAATCTGGAGCGAGTTTAGAACTGCCAATTAAATATTTACATTTGCTATGAGATTATTTGCTTTTTCCAGATTATACCTGCCCAAACCAAAAGGATGTTCATTGTTCCAGAATAGTTTGGAACCTTTGAGGACAACATGAAGCAATTCATTTTTCCTAATGTGAAAACGAAATAATTCTGTTTTGAAAATAGTAATGTTCCATACGACTGAATCAATCTAAGGAGTGATTACCTCATCCCACGATACAATGAGAGTAATTGTGAGCATGCCATTCCTCTTGTACCCAAGGGCCTCGTTTTCTACCACATCTATTTCTATTAGCTTCGGAAATTCCACAATGTGTACACCACTGGGTACTTCGGAATCAGTGGATTTCTTCCGCGTTTCCTCATCATCGGAACTATTAACAACACGAGCTTCAAAGTGGCACCGTGTTGGAAGGTCTCCGGTTACCTTTAACGAAAGATGCGTGCCGTGCCCACTACCAAATCCAAGCAGAAAGAGTTCGGCTCGTAGGTTATCGTCTGTTGGAAGTAGTATCTGCGATGCCTGTTCATCCTTCAGAGAGTCGTACGGAATAAGATGGGTTGACGTTTTCTGTTGGTTGTGGTGGAACTTTGCTTTCATTTGTCGCATTTCTTCCTGTAAGGCGGCCACACTGGTCTCTAAGGCTTCTATATGATCTTGCTGGGAGCTAAAGGAGTCGCTAAGTGACCTCATATCCTCAACAGACCTAGTGTGGCGGATGTTGTTCCGGACGCAATGACTATGATACCCTCTCCTCAGCTTTTCATGGCCTTCAGCGGTGCGGGATAGTGAATCCAGAACACTGCTGAGTTCTAATTGGCCCAAACTAGCTTCACCTGTGGGAATTGGGATTGCTTCAGAACGTGGGATGAAGAAGGGATTCCGGAGGTCGCCAGCACTCGAATCTAAAGGACTGCTAGTGCTAGAACCTCTGACACCAATGACCGAGATCTCTGCGACTGGTTCCGGGAATTGGTACACTTGGTGGTGGACCTCATCCTTAGCCCCACCCTCGGCTCTACCTGCCTCTACACCCCTCGCTGCACTATCAATCACATCTGCTCTCCTTTCGGGATTCGGAGTTCCCTCCATTCGCGGCGAATCTGCATTGAATCGTATTAGATGTAATGTTGCACATCAATGGCCCAAATATGGAACATTTAGATTCTTATGACACTGTCATGTTTTCTGTCGAAATTATCTTAAAGGCAGGTATTATACTAACACTGTAAATTTCCATCTGCTGCTCACAATGTCCCGATGTGTCGACAGCCGTGTCCCACAATGCATCACCAACTTATTAGAGCGCCTGATGATGCTTGGGCACAGGTACCGGAAATCACTCTATATTATTATGCACACATTCACCGAAAGAAGGCGCAGTTGAAAGTACATTACAGCAGTGGTATATTTCGATCTCGATAACATAACCTGCCTTTAACCTATGATCAACAGTCTTCAATGTTATAATCGTCTTGGAGAATAACAGGAACAACAAAAACAAAATAAGAGAGGGATGTTTGGGCTGCCGTATTAAGACACCGACATGGTTCAAGATGGAAAAATCAAGACAGGTTTAAGAATAAGAGGTGGACCTGCAGTGGTATATAGCGGGGGTCAAGACATCATTGAAGAGGCATCGGAAATAGTACATTCATAAAATGCAAAGGAACAATTAGGATGTATAGATTAAAGCGGTGTGGGGATAGACCACATCGTCTTCTAATTTCCACGTTGCTTTGATCACCTAGTGACTGGGTGACCAGAAGTTCGCTCTTGCCTGACCGGGCTTTATTTCGTCAAAAGTATGGGGCCAGGTTGGCGTTGCAATTGGATTGTAGCCTCAACGTTATAGTAAGAGTTAGGTAGGCCAATACCATGGGTTCTAGAGTTGAAATATTTGAAAATTACCGGCAGCACCGATACATTTTGATTATTCAAGTTCTCGAAAACAAAAGTGTCGTAGGGGTCTAAATTTTCTAGTGCTTAGGGGCATCCAAATATGTCAACATTTAAAATAATTACTATCCATCCAATTTTCAAAATTTCACAAAACTTTTCAATACCTTTAACCTGCGTGCAGTGCATATACACTTTTGCACTCGCAAACATATATTATTTGTGTAATATAAGATGTATTGCCCATTATTTATTTTTTTAATTCAACTTTCATACCTGTTCCTGCAGCATTTTTCTTGGCTGGAGTTGACGTTTTCGGGATGCCCTGGCCAGAAGCAGCTTCAGCTATCGTTTGAGTATCGGAAAAGACATCATCTCCAACCTGTGTGCCATCCACGCCAAGAGGGTTACCATCATCCCCAAAACTGCCATTCCAGCGTCTAGTGCGTGAGATTGCACAGGACTATGCGAAAATATTAATTTTTTCCCCAAAACCTTACCCAAATTAACAGAAAATCAGAGGAAGCTATGTGAAGGAAAAATTAACCAGGGAGAGTGTATTGAAATCTTAAAAGAAATGCAGTTAAATAAATCCCCAGGAAATGACGGATTAAATGTAGAATTTTATATTACATTCTGGCATGTAGTTGGTGACTTAGTTCTTAAGGCATTTAACGATACCATGAAATTCAAGGAATTGTCGCCTTCTCAAAAACAAGCAATCATAACGCTTATACATAAGGATGGTAAAGACCCCAATTTCATTAGTAATTATAGACCTATCTCCTTACTCAACGTAGACTATAAGATTATTACCAAAATACTTTCTAAAAGAATAAAAAAAGTTTTGAATGAAATTGTGTCGGTCGATCAAGTAGGTTATTTAAAAGATAGAAACATCGGTGATGCAATCAGATTAATCAATGATATGATTTTTCATACTTCTTGTTTTAACAAACCAGGGTACCTATTGGCAATAGATTATGAAAAAGCTTTCGACTCGATTTCACATAGTTTTCTTCAGAAAGTGCTCATTTCTTTCGGGTTTGGGCCAATGTTTTGTGAATGGGTTACAATTTTACTTACCAATGCTCAAAGTTGTGTTTTTAATGGGGGTAAATCAACCGGATATTTTAAAGTTCAAAGGGGTGTAAGACAAGGAGATCCGTTATCTCCATATTTATTTATTTTATGCATAGAATGCTTAACTCACTGCATTAGAAATGATAAGTTGGTAAAAGGTATTTGTTTTGGAGAAACAGAAATAAAGATGATCTTATATGCAGATGACATGTCAATTTTTGTACGAGACATAAACTCGATTAATAGAATAGAGGTAATCATGGAAAATTTTAGGAAAATATCAGGACTAAAGATTAATGGAAATAAAACATTCATTTTACCCTTAGGATCTTCTGTTGGCTCTGCGACTGTGTATCCTTTTGGAAAGGAGGCACACATTTTAAAAATACTCGGTATATATTTTACATTAGATCCCAATGTGGCGGAAGAGATGAATTACAAAGAAATATTAAGCAAAATAAAGAAATTGTTAAATTGGTGGAAACAAAGAGATCTTACTTTGATAGGAAAAATTCATTTACTGAAAACATACGCATATTCAAAACTAATCTATGTAAGCTCTTTGACTCCAGTGCCTGAATGGGTTATAAAAGAAATTGATGAGATCTGTTTTAATTTTCTATGGCGAGGTAAAGACAAAATTAAAAAAAGTACGATGTATTTTGATTACAAGCAAGGAGGATTAAAAATGCTCAACTTTCAACTTTTTGTGAAAGTACAAAAAGTGATGTGGATTAAAAGACTTGTAACAGGAAACCAGAGAGTTAAATGGAAAAAGTATTTCAAATTTTTAATGAGACCTTTCGGAGGAAATCTTATTTTTTACTGTAACTATTTACCTAACAAGATCGATATACAATTACCAAAATACTATCGGGATTTAATAAACATTTGGTTAGATATGAATGATTTTATTAAAAAAGATACAACTCACAAAGGGAATGAAATTTTTTTAAATAATAGGTATATACACAATAGTGGAAAAACATACTTCAATGAAAATCTTTTCTTAAAAAACACTTATAGATTGTACCATATTATAGATGGAAAAGGAACATTAAAGTCGGAAACTTATTTCAGATGTATGGGACTAGAGGAAGAGGAAATATCAATGCTTAAAGAAATCTATGGTAATATACCAAAGGAATGGAAAATCGAATTAACAAAGAGACAAATTTCATTTCATGATCTAAAAATAGAATTTATGTTTACAAAAAAAACATTCCAATTTGAATCGGTTTGTTCGAAAAATCTGTACAGGGCATGCATACAAAAAATGCAAGACGTCCCTGTCAGTTTTCAGAATTTACATTCATCATACAATCTGTCGGTTAAAGAAATTGAAAAGGTTTTTGTCCGACCAAGAATTAGTACTTTAGATAATAAACTAAGAGAATTTCAATTCAAATTGCTTTATAAAATTGTTTATGTCAATCGTTATTTATACAGGTTTCAATTCATATTAAGTGATAAATGCTCATTTTGTGGAAAAGAAGAGGAAACATATAGGCACATATTTTTTGAATGCGAAATGGTGAGAAAATTATGGGATCAATGTAGTGATAGTTTGGATATTCCAATCCTTAAAGATATGAGCTGGAAGGAAGTTCACATTGGATTAGACGAAATAACCGAAGATAGGCAAATGATTAATCACGTGGTTTTATTAATTAAATATTTGATATTTATTAGTAGGGAAAAAAAGAAGCCTCCAAGTATTGAAGAAATAAGAGAGAAAATATTCAAAAGTAAACGGGAAGAAAGAAAGAGTGCTACTGAACGAAATACGTTGACGCTCCACTATAAAAAATGGGAACATCTCAAGGTAAACATGGATAATATGCAAGAAAATGCAAGGGATGAGGAAAGGGGGGGGCCTGCCCGGTTCACAGCTGTGTGTGATTGACCGGTCTCGACTGCCATAGACTGCCCACGTCTTCTTGTATCGTTTTTTGTTTTTTTGTTTTTTTGTTTTGTTTTTTGTTTTTGTTTTTGTTTTCTTTTTTTTTTTTGGTTTTTTGTTTGTTTTGTGTTTGTTGTTGTTGGTTTTGTTTTTAACGGGGGTAGGGGATTTAACAAACTTTATTCATTCGATATAACTAAGTTGATTGTAGTCTGTACTTTGTTCCAATATGTTATAAATTATAATATGTAATAGGGATGCTAGTAACACAGAACAAAATATAGAGGGGGGGGGGTTATAACAATATTAATTCATTCAATATAATTGAGATTACTGTATTTTGTACTCTGTAATTGGTTTCAATATGTTATATATTACAATTTGTATGAATTAATATTATTTATTGAGTGAATACAATAAAGAATATTACAACAAAAAAAAAATCTCTACAGATATGACAGAAAGAAAATTGGCAAATATAAATCTGTGATAACTCTTCCAAACATTGGATCTGATAGATAAAGTAAACATGATTCCGATGTTGACTATATTTAGTATATCCCTTGATGCAAGGTAACGTTTGTAATAGAAAATTACAGAATGCGTTGGACATGACATCAAGTACCGTTAAATGCCACAAATATTGCGCAAAAACGAATTTGAAAATTAAAACTTACAGATCATCATCCAACATGGTCGCATTGAGTGAGGTAGGATTCTGGCAGCTTTCTAAGTATCGATGTTTATGATCCACCCTGTTACTGCGGTTAGCTAGGTAAAAGACAAACAAAAATGTAATTCCTTCAACATGAATAAAGAATATGTAAATCAAAAAGTTGTTTTATAGGGCACTTACATTATAATCCCATTATCATGACATTGGGCAAGATAACACAATTCAGTGTGAAATCAATACAAACAAATAAAAAAACATATGTTTTTTGTTGTTGTTTTTGTTGTTCTTTAAGGCTGACCAATCTAAAAAGATTATTTCTGCCTGGCTGTACTGTTTTTGTAGTTGTTCATCACTGATGATTAGATGGCGCTGTTTCTTTTCCTCTTGGGTATTTGTACTGCGTCGATATTAATTTTAAGTCAACACACGAACTAGACTAGCCCAGCATGCAACGATCCGACTGGTCTGCAATTGTTCTGCGACTGAATGAGATTCGTATTAGGTCCATGGTGAGATCTAGAGGAGATATGACGTCACAGCTCCCGCCAGCTTGTGAGTCACATACGACTCCAGTGGGGTCATATTGGTGCGCGGGGGCATTACGTCTTTGTCCCAGGCACTTTGCGTACTGGGGGGGGGGTGGGGGAGGGGTGATGTCCCCTACCCGGCCTCCCTCTTTTAAAAAAAGTCCTACGACCAAAAACAAATTGACAAAAATAAAGGGAAACAAGAAAAAGAAAGACGAAAGAATTAAAAAGATATTTATATTTTCAGGGTTTCGCTGTTGTTGTTGTTTGTTTATGGCTTGCCCTTCTATCTTTCTTTTTGTTAATTAATCCATCGAGTATACAGTCAAACCAATTTCGAGGTATGTTTTTAAGACCTAAAATGTCTTTTGTCATACTGGTCCATATAATTATGTACTCAATTTAATAACGTCCATGCCCTATTTAAACATGTTAAAATAAACAAATATTATGTACATAGGTGCAACATCTTGATTTGGAAAGCATGTCATTATGGAAATCACATCTTGTTTAAGCCTGTTATCATTTCAGAAGGAAAAATGGCATTCCCTTTTTACATCTTTCCGAATCGTCTCATTGTATCGGCAGGGGTTTTCTAGTTTCTACAAAAGTATATGCATGTATTCCAATATAAACATGTTCATGTAAATACAAAACCTCATATTTAAGATATCCATTGTTCCATTTTACATTATCGTTTTTTGTTAACAATATGACATGATAGTATCCTGCACAAATTTATGTTTCGTCTTTACCACGGCCAATTGCTTCCTGCTCTAACTGCCCTTTTAAAGAAAAATAGAGAGGTTGCCTACATTTTCATCCAAAAAAATAGTCAAATAAATTTACGCTATCCAATCTCAAAACCACAACGGCACATAAATACATAGAGGCCCGGACATATGGAATTCCCTGCCTTCGGATCAAATGAATATTCACTCAGAGTTTGCATTTAAGTAGCAGTGAAAAAAATGCTGTAACTTCTCCCAATATATTATTTAATCAGTATTGGATATGTCTGCTTTTAGTGCTTTATTAGCAATGACATGTGCAACCATCTAACACTCATTATCACTTAACCGCCCCCCCCCCCTCTCTCTCTCTCTCCATCTCTCCATCTCTTCATTCTTCTCTTCTCTTTGATGTACTACACATCACCAGGAACCCCCTAATTTATGTATTTTGCTTGTACATGATGGTACTTTAATTGTCAGTGCTCACAAGTCATCAAGCTCTGCCTATGTTGGAGCCCTGGCCAGTTCTGTTAAAAATAGATTCATTTTCTTCATGTATGTTAATACACTGTTGGTCATAATGGTGGAATATTTATTTTTACCCCAGTTAAGGGAAGGATTTTAAAAAATTATTTATTTCTAATAGATCTAGATAATGGCATACATTCTCAGATTTTATTGAATATTAATTTGCGAGTGTTTGTTTTGCGTGACTGCTTAATCATATGTGTGCTACTATGCTAATCAGCTAAGGGACCTACGTCCTTAAGTCATAATTGACAGTAATGAGGATTAATGCCTCACAAAAGGGCACTAATATATAGCTGATCGACACGATTTTTATCCTGGGGCCTCACAGTAACGAGGCCATTGCTTAGCCCATGAATCATGACTGTACGCAGTGTTTGCTAGGGTACGCGGCCCCTTCCACAAATCCCCCAAAACGAAGAAAATGCGATAAATTGTCAAAAATTCATTGCATTTTCCCCCGGCCCCCAACAGGAAAAAATCATCTGTAGGGCCATGCATTATGGTTCAAGGCATGGCCACACAGAGGAATTTTTCCTGTTGGCCGGGGGAAAATGCAATGAATTTTTGACAATTTATTGCAATTTCTTCGTTTTGGGGGATTTGTGGGGGCGGCCGCGTACCCTAGCAAACATTGCGTACAGTCATAATTCTGGGGCTTAGCAATGGCCTCGATACCGTGAGGCCCCAGGATAAAAATCGTGTCGATCAGCTATATCAGTGCCCTTTTGTGAGGCATTAATCCTCATTACTGTCAATTATGATTTAAGGGCGTAGGTTCCCTAGCTGATTAGCATAGTAGCACACATATGATTTAGCAGTCATGCAAAACAAACACTCGCAAATTAATATTCAATAAAATCTGAGAAAGTATACCATTGTCTAGATCTATTAGAAATAAATAATTTTTTAAAATCCTTCCCTAAACTGGGGTAAAAATAATTATTCCACCATTATGACCAACAGTGTACATACTTATTTTCTTATGTATTCAGAACTGAACAAATAAATGATTTTTTGTTTGATTTTTTTTAAGTGCAAAATTAAAAAAATCAAACCCTTCTTCACTAAAATGCTTTGCTTGGAATAATATTTTGTCTTCATTCTCATGAGGAAAAAACATTATCTACATGTAGTTTGCCCTATACTGTTGTGAAAATTGGTAAAATTTAGCCCATTATGGTATACAAATCAAAACCTCTTGATAAGTTCTTGTTAAAACTATGGGCAACACGTGATTCCAATATGATTTTTTTTATTCCGGCCCCTCAGCAATTAGGACTAAATTGGAGTCACCGAGGCCTATAGTTTCAACCAGTAAAGAAGGCAGGGTAATTTTGTTTTTCCCTTCATCAAAAATGTATAATCAGGCAGAGACACTTCATTAGACAGCTAATTAGACTACAACTCAGCGTAGATAGTACGGCGTAAGCAACGTACGTGACACTGCGGCGGTAATTACCCGTTGGAGACATTTGAAATCCCGTACGCTCGCTGAATTTTCAACTCCCAAATAGTACTTTTTTCAGAGCGACCTTAAAATAGTTGAAATATCTATGGTAACGTGAAGAGCTTTCAACCAATAAATTGATGATGCAGGACAATAATAGTACCTACTTGTATAGCGCACAGGTCCGCCTTTCGGTGCTCATGGCGATATAATAATCACTATATTTATTAAAGGGATCCGGTAACTTTGTCTTAGATCCTTTAGAAATAATCCTTGATTTAGCTCATGCTGCAATGATAATTATAAACCTTTAGGTCAAGCAGGAACTCTATGACTTTTACAAGCCGATCTGATTATCAAGATATTAATGATTGGAATTACAAATTTTGAAAACCGTTCGCCAAACGGTTTGCATAACACTACAGTCCCGGCAATGGGGAAAACGAGTATGGTAAAACCGGTCACTCAAAGATTTTTACTTTTTTGAGGCACTTCTTGATCATTTCGAAGCGCGATTTTTTTAGGGCTTCAATGTTACACCACATCACAGACACTGGTAGCATGTAGGACCGTGTTTCTCAGATTTAACATTGTTAAACGATCCCTTTAAATGCAAAGCAAACCGATACTATCAATGTACATCCGTTATTCTTTGTTAATGGGTTCAAGAGAAGCGTCGAAATGGATCATGCACTGCACTTGGTTATGTCACAATGAAACGGACAATGAACCCTCGCCATTAACCTGCGTCCAGTGGATATTCACTATTGCACTCGCAAACATGTATTATTTGTATGTTATATTTGCATATATGACTCTTTATATGACTCTTTATGGAATTTAAACCCTGGGAGCAAATCAAAACGCCCTAAATGTATGTACATACCAAAACTTTTCGAATGACAAGCAGATTACACTGTCTCCAAAATAGGCAGCCAAATATCTTGACAAAAGTCTCCGATATCAACCTCGCACATTAAAATAGTCTCCCATAATTCCAGCCAAATTAGGCTTAGCGAATTCTTCTTCACCGAGACTGGTACAAATGAACATATCATGTTTATATCCAAGAATTAGATTCTCTAGTTTTAGCAAAATTAACAATCTTGCATACTCTTACTTGTGAAGCGATATATACTGTATACTCACATAATTATATATATATATGGAACAACGTACGCACAAGTCCGACTTCAGTTAGCTAAAATGGCGACAAGTCGCTCATTCATTTTGCTCACCTTGTCCCTCAGACCATACCCAGTTTACAATAAAAAATACGGAAATATTAATATCTTATTTCGGAAATAGCGTCGCTTAGTCTGTTAGCACACACTCTTTGATATTTGCAAATACATCTTGAGTGAAATATAGACCTTTTAAAGTATTGATTATACATAACCTCATTACCATCTATCGTAAGAGGGTTAACAGTAAAAGTCATGTTCAATAAGGTCTAAACATGGCATGATCCAGCCCCTAATTCTCAAATTATGGATGAAAAGGGGTCTGTATATGCAGACTCGGAATTTTAGTGGGAATTCCCCGCAGAATAAAAATAGCCCAATGGTTTTAATTGTATAAATTGAATGGACATTGAAAGAGTGAGAGAGAGACACACACAGAGAGACATGGGGTGAGGGGAGGGAGGAAAGGCGTACGTGAGAGAGAAATGGGCCGGGGGCCGGGAAGGGTCAGGGGCAGCAGAACGTCTTTCAAAGTGGGGGAAGGGGCACCAACAAAAAATATTTGTGAGGTCGCAGTGCGAAAGATTACATCTTA